TAATTTTCCCTTTGGGGCCCCGCCCTGGCCCCAGGGGTTGGGGTAGGAATCCCAATTTTACAATTTTGAAGCCTCATCTACCAAGGATGATTCTGACCAAGTTTGAAAAAAATCCATCCACTGGTTCTTGAGAAGAAGTTGAAAATGTAAAAGTTTACGCACGACGCACGACGGACGACGGACGACGGACGACGACGGACGAAAAGCGATTGGAATAGGTCACTTGAGCAAAGCTCAGGTGACCTAAAAAGGTGAAACTTTTAATTAATCGGATTTAAGCACAAGAAAGATAATTTTAAAATTATTTTTGTCAGCAAATGTGATTGGTAAATGATAACAGAGATTCTAAATTTCATTTATGACATAAGACGCTGTACATTTACACGGAGATTCTCAGGTAAAAAGGTCAGGTATTTCATCAAGAATTGCATGTGATTTGGCTACAGATTTCAAGTCGTCATTCAATATATTTACTGTCACAGTCAGCATATATATATATATATTAGCTACGGTGTAGTTTATGATTAAATCATCGATATAAAGTTTGAAGAAATCAATCGGCTCAAAACGTATTAATGTCAATGTTCAAATCGGCCTCACCTGCAGACATCATGTGCGCCTCGGTCCACTGATATTTTCCTGTTTGCGTAGGGCACAAAATTAAAGCCGTTCATTGGAAAGTTACATATTATGTTACACCGAAGTATTTCCACATCAACCGTGTCAAACCCTTCAAAACCTTTATTATCATCGTAGGTGACGCTGGAGAATAATAAATGTTTACGTTACACATGTGTGGTTAAATTCCAGAAGTCAGGTAATACTAAAAACCGAACCGAACCGAAACACGGAAAAATATACAGTAAACCAAACCGAAGCAATTTAGCGCGGTTTTCAGTGCACCGCGGTGTATCGTTACAGCCCTAATAAATAGTGCCTGGTTGTAGTCTTACAATCTAATACATAAATAGTGCCTGGTTGTAGTCTTACAATCCCATACATATATAGTGCCTGGTCGTAATTTTTGAGGGCATTCTATAATTACAATCTTGTACATATATAGTGCTCGGTTGTAGTTTTTGAGGGCATTCTATACATACAATCTCATACATATATAGTGCTCGGTCGTATTTTTTGAGGGCATTCTATACTTACAATCTCATACATACATGGTGCCTGGTCGTAGTTTTTGAGGACATTCTATACTAACAATCTCATACATATATAGTGCCCGGTCATAGTTTTTGAGGGCATTCTATACTTACAATCTCATACATATATAGTGCCTGGTTGTAGTTTTTGAGGGCATTCTATACTTACAATCTCATACATACATGGTGCCTGGTTGTAGTTTTATAGGACATTCTATACTTACAATCTCATACATACATGGTGCCTGGTTGTAGTTTTTGAGGGCATTCTATACTTACAATATCATACAGTACATACATAGTTCCTGGTCATTTTGCGGGCATTCTATACTAACAATCTCATACATATATAGTGCCCTGTCATAGTTTTTGAGGGCATTCTATAATTACAATTTGATACATCTATAGTGCCCAGTCGCAATTTTTGAGGGCATTCTATACTTACCATCTCATACATGTATAGTGCCCAGTCGTAGTTTTTAAGGGATATTTATAATTACAATCTCATAAATGTATAGTGCCTGGTCGTAGATTTTTGAGGGCATTCTATACTTACAATATCATACATTCATAGTGCCTGGTCGTAGTTTTTGAGGGCATTCTATACTAACAATCTCATACATACATAGTCCCTGGTCGTAGTTTTTGAGGGCATTCTATACAAACAATCACATACATACATAGTACCCTGTCATAGTTTTTGAGGGCATTCTATACTTACAATATCATAGAGTACATACATAGTCCCCGGTCATAGTTTTTGAGGGCATTCTATACTTACAATCTCATACATACATGGTGCCTGGTCGTAGTTTTTGAGGGCATTCTATACTTACAATATCATAGAGTACATACATAGTCCCTGGTCATAATTTTTGAGGGCATTCTATACTAACAATCTCATAATTACATAGTAACTTGTCATAGTTTTTGAGGGCATTCTATACTTACAATCTCATACATACATGGTGCCTGGTTGTAGTTTTTGAGGGCATTCTTTACTTACAATCTCATACATACATAGTGCCTGGCTGTAGTTTATGAGGGCATTCTATACTAACAATCTCATACAGTACATACATAGTGCTCGGTCATAGTTTTTGAGGGCATTCTATACTTACAATCTCATACATACAATTTATATCGTGCCCGATCGTAGTTTTTGAGGGCATTCTATACTTACAATCTCATACATATATAGTGCTCGGTCATAGTTTTTGAGGGCAGTGTAGATCATCCCTCCGTAGTAGTAGTAAAGTAGGAAATCCTTCGCATCATAATGTCCTCCCTGTCAAAAATATCTTGTATAAATTATTCAATAAATACATCACATTAATAAAAAAGTCCTAATACTGACATGATCAGGAGTTAGTCTGATGTGTCCTAATATTGGCATGATCAGGAGTAAGACTGATGTGTCTTAATCTTGACACGATCAGGAGTTAGTCTGATGTGTCCTAATATTGACATGATCAGGAGTTAGTCTGATGTGTCCTCATACAGACATGATCAGGAGTTAGTCTGATGTATCCTTATATTGACATCATCAGGAGTTAGTCTGATGTGACCTAATACTGACATCATCAGGAGTTAGTCTGATGTTTCCTAAAACTGACATGATCAGGAGTAAGACTGATGTGTCCTAATACTGACATGATCAGGAGTTATTCTGATGTGACCTAATACTGACATGATCAGGAGTTAGTCTGATGTGACCTAATACTGACATGATCAGACTAACTCCTGATCATGTCAGTATAAGGAAACATCAGACTAACTCCTGATCATGTCTGTATGAGGACACATCAGACTAACTCCTGATCTTGTCGGGATTAGAACAGATCAGACTAACTCCTGATCATGTTAGTATTAGGTCACATCAGACTAATACTGACATGATCAGGAGTTCGTCTTATGTGACCTAATACTGACATGATCAGTAGTTAGTCTGATCATGTCATAATACTGACATGATCAGGAGTTCGTCTTATGTGACCTAATACTGACATGATCAGGAGCTAGTCTGATCATGTCATAATACTGACATGAACAGGAGTTAGTCTGATGTGTCCTAATACTGACATGATCAGGAGTTCGTCTGATGTGACCTAATACTGACATGATCAGGAGTTAGTCTGATCATGTCATAATACTGACATGAACAGGAGTTAGTCTGATGTGACCTAATATTGACATGATCAGGAGTTAGTCTGATGTGTCCTAATATTGACATGATCAGGAGTTAGTCTGATGTGTCCT